GAATGATTGATCGAAAGCCAAGAGTGCTATCTAAGTCAATATATAAGCAAAAAAGCAATAGCAAATGAAAATGAGAGATCAATCTAAAAAGTTATTAATGAAGCAAAAAACTATGGCATGAAACATTTTTCTTAAATTTTAAATTGAATCACAAATGCCATGCTTTTTTACAATTATTGTGTTTGATAGCTTTCAACTAAATCTAAAAATAATTAACACAGTGAGTCAAATTGGTTTTGATAGCCATTAAGCAACCTAATATTTATACTTTATTAAATAAAATAATGCTATATATTTGATTTGGAGAACAAGAAGAAGAAACCAATCCTTGTTAAGAAGTAATAGAAAAAAAAAAGACCAATGATTTGGCCTACCAAGTTGTGCCACAGTATCAACAAAACATTTATATAGCTCATGTGTCCAACATAAACATTACTTTAAGCTGAGATTAGAGTTGTTGGTTGGATTGTTACCTCTATTGAGAGGATCTATTGCACTACCACCACAATCTAAACGTATGCCATAAACTAATAAATTGCTGCTAGCTAGACTTGAATTAGGAATGGTATTTGGTTGATACATTTGTTATTTAACTAATAGTAGTAGAATCAAAATCAACAAAATGAGCCATAGGAATTAACAAAAACGTCATATAACCATAAACATCAACTTACAAGTATGGCCCAAAGAAGCAACATTATAAAGACTTATCTAAAATTTCCTAAGTTAAGCAATGAATGCTTCTCGGAATGTCAGCAAATATGTCATTGAGTTACTTATTAAACTAAGAATATATTGTATCAGTATAACCCAAAGAACAGCATAAATAGCTCATGCACCTATTTAACTTGATTTCCATGAAAGAAAGAAAAATACTAGAAGAACTAAGAGTTCCCCTCACTTTAATTAAACATTAAGATGATAATAAAGAGAGAAAAATACTAGAAGAACTAAGAGTTCCCCTCACTCAAAGAACTATCATTCCTAAATTTTGGTTGAATAGTTTCATGAAAGTTTTTAAAATTTCAAGTAATTTTTTCATAGGCACCACACCTAAAGGTGTCCTCAAAGTTATGGGTTTGCAAAGCTTAACAATATATCATGTCACAAGCCATTTTCATGTAATGTGTGCTTTAGACTTTAGAGACTCTTAAACTTTGTTATTCTCAATTATTGATCTTTGTTCACTCTTCTTATCTATATATTCATAAATATCAACTTGCAAAATACCTCCCTGATTTATCATCCTATAGTAGTTCTTCGATCTTATTTTACTAATTCATTAGTTTGTTTTTCCCATGCCATTAGACAAATTCAATCATTTTTTATATTTGATCTTTGTAGTCTAGTTTTTTTTAAAAAAAATAAACTCTTGTATTTGTTTCCTAATACTTGTTTTAATATTATTGCATAGGAAAAAAGTTGAAAAGAAGGTAACTAGGGACAAGCTTTCCAATCTAAATGTCCCTTTGTGAGTATGGCTACCTCTTTTGCTTTTTGTTTTTTAAAATTTATAATAGTTTTTTCTTACCACCCTTTCTCATTCAGCTAGACTTTGCCCATAAAGTAAAGAAATTAAGAAAAATTTAACAATATACTGATAATTCAAAACAAAGTTGGCAAAAAAAATCAAACTTGACGAATTCATGTAAGAGATTTGGATTTCAATTCTCAAAGAGAAAGGTCTATGATCCATGAGGGTGAATGAGGCTATGGCTAAAAGTGAACCAAGGGAAAATGAAACCAAGGGAGGCTTAAGCTTGAGGGGTGGCCAACGATGAGGCAAACAATGGTGGAGACATGCATATGATGGATTCAAGGGTTGCCAGTAGTGGAAGTGAATGATGAGAGGTGAGTGCATGTGTAGGTGTGAGGGAAGGGCTTGAGAGTTCGAGAGGCTTAAGGCTTAAGAATTTCGGAGGAGCACAGTTGAAGGTGTTGTTTTGCAGAGAGTTTAAGGGAGATTTTATGCAATGGCGTGAATGCCGGTAAAGGCAAGTTTGAGAGTGATTAACGACGATGGAAATGAGATGGCAAAGGAGGAAAGTGATGGATTGGAGAATTAGGGGTGCTGGAAATCGTCTCTAATTTATTGTATTGTTTTCTATCAATAACAAAGGGCATTTTGGTCTATTCTCTTTATCTTTTTCTAAATAAAATAATAAGTGTGGTCCTTCAAGAACATTTGGTCCCTAAGGCTAATTTTCTTTTTAGCCTGGTGCTTTTCACTAATTTTTTCTTTTTATTATAAGACATCTCTAACTAATTCACCTCTACGAAAAAAATGTGATTAAGTCATTAACTTTATTTAAAAATATAATAAAAATATGTGGTTAAATTTTATTCATATTTAAACCCAAAAAAATTAAATTTGTAGTACATTCTCTCTCATAATTAATGAATCTAAATAGAAGTACTTCCTCCATCCCAAATTATATAGTGTTTTTAAAGAAGTTTTTTCATTTTAAAATATAAGACATTTTGGGTGGATTAAAGCTTCATTAAATGTATCAATTCTAATATTATCCTTTGTCTCTCTATAATTAATTTTATCATTCCTCTTTTCAATATATTAAATGATAGATATTTTTAAATGTTTATATTTTTATTTTGAAAAGATAAAATTGTTTAATGTATTTAATGAGATTTATTGATATGTGAGATTTTGTCTAAAGGTTATAATTTGGGACAGAGGGAGTGATATTTAAAAAAAAAACATAAGGAAGAATGACAGATAGGTTTCAAGAGAATCAATTAATTCAACTTAAGTTTCAACTGCCAAACTTTTGAAATTTACATGTTCAACTTTTAATTTTACAACTTTATTGTGATGAATTTACAACTTGTGTTCTAAATTTTAATAAGTAAAACAAATTTATTTATTTTTCAACCGTGTTAAAATTTGAAAAACAAATTGTAAATTCATCATAACAAAGTTATAAAATTGAGAGTCGAACTTATAAATTTTTAAAATTTGACACTTGAAACTTAAGTTAAATTAATTAGTCCCCTTAGGACTTATATGTCATTCTCCCAAAACATAATCAATACTCTATCAAGCATGTTACATTAAAAGCCCAGAAAATTCTCACAGGAAATGCTCTATAATAAAGACCAGAGTAGTAATTTACTTATACAAAGAAAAAGTAATGCAAACTCTAATAATATTTTGCTGTACCAGTTGTGAAATTAAATTACATATTGTTGAGTCTTTGCCACTATTTTCTCATGCCAATTATGCCTTACTCAACAGGATTGGGGCATATCTTTTTTCTCCTGTTGTTATGTGGGGTATAGGGAAAATAACCTAGAACTTACGAATTTATACGAATTCAAATGAATTGGAGTGATGATTTTAGAACCATGGATCAAAAGATAGACACCTAAAGATGATCGGACAAAGAGGCCATTGCGTAGACTCTTGTTTTAATTCATGACATTGCAAACAAGAAAGTGATTCATGTATTCAGAAGGGTACAGCCGAATACTCGCACGTCTGGACAAGTAGAACGCTGCAAGATTGTCATTCAACAAATTGTCTAACCTCTGTTGGGCCCTTCTTGTTTTCGGTACACTTGTTTTCTTTTTCTTGCTTTGTTTTTGGGCTAAGATTTGGACGGCTCATTGTTTGAGGTACTATGGCCTGTGTCAAACACAAATCCCCGATCCTGACGTTTCTCTTTTTGGTGATTGTTTGAAATTTCTACCACTATTTAATTGGATCAAATTTGACTATTGTTGAAGTGCCTTAGTATGGAATGTGATTTTCAATTTTTTATCAAAAACAAAAAATTAGGATGGACTCTTTTTAATGGGATTTGCCTCGTAAAGATTCTAGTTTTCGCTTAATTTCAAGGATGATCATACTTTTGACATATCTGAATCAAACTGTTCACGTAGGGACTTAGGAGCTAGAGCCTTATCAATCATCTCATTAACATCTTGTCAATGATACTGTATTAATTACAATTCTTTGGATGATGTATTATATTTTAATTTATTTATAAATTATTTTTGATCTCTCATCACCATAAAAAAATTTTAAAATTTATTAATTTTATATTTAAAAGTTAATAATTTTTAAATTTTACTTCTATTCAATAATATATATATATATATCTTTTAAAAATAAAAGATAAAAAGGTAAAAATTAACATAATAATCATTGAGATATTTTATAAATATGATTAAAATAACTACATTTTTTAGTAAATAAAATTAAAGGAGTGTTAATTAAAATTTTTAACATATTATATGTAAAGTCATTGTTCATGAAAAATAATGTAATATCAGTTTGAATTTTTTTATTTAAATAAATGTGAAATCAAAAGTTTATTTTATTTTTATAAAAAAAATTAATAATCTGTCCACCTCTCATTGATTTTAATAATATAGCTAAACATGTATCTTTAACCGGAGACAAGGTGGGAGTGCTTTGCTTGAAAAAATTGAGCTTCTCACACTCATTTCATTTCAATCACTGCTAGGACATTGGGTTATATGTTTATATATATATATATATATATATATTTACTAATCACCATTTTCCAGAAACTGTCGCAGTCATAAACTCAAGTTTAAACAGAATTGCAGAAACAAAGCATTTTTAGTAGCTAGGATCAATCTACAGTATTATTATCGCATTGTCAATTCAATAGTGACTTTCGTTGATTGATGACATACGAAGTCCGTGAGATTTTTGCGAGGATGAGGAGTCAAGGAGTGATCGAGGGGAAAAAAAAAAACGCGGGATAAGGCATGGAGAAACCCTGGACACCATTGGCCAACCCTCGCTTCTCTTTCTTTCTCCTTCACATATCTTTCCCTAACGATAAGAGGGCCCCACTTATCCTCCTCCCTCCCTCTCCTCTGCTCCCTCCCCCACCGCAATTACCCTGCTCACTCACGTCTCTCACCATCCACTTGACATCCTACGATCATCAGCCTCCCATCCACGCTCTCTCGACGCACCTGATCACACCCCTTTCAGACTGTTATCCCACCACCAGACTTCACACAAAAAAACTGTCCCTGTACTTTGCTCTTGCTCTGCCAGGAAATCGTTTCTGAGCCTCTCCCTCTCCTAGCTCCTCCTCTGTATTATTGATTAGCCACATTTTTTGATTTCCCCGGTTCGTCCTTCCCTCTGTTTCGCAGCTCATTCCATGGAGTCGCGAGTGTTGTCACGCGCCACCGCCTTCTCCTCCTCCTCCTCCTCCCTCCCCTGCCCCCGCAGGCTGCCGCGCGAATCTCACAATGCTTCCTTCCTCTCCGTCAAGCCGATCGGGGCCGTCGCTGATGGCGGCAACCTTATCTGGGGAAGGCAGCTCCGTCCCACCCTCTGCTCACCGGCGTTGAGGAAAGACGCTCCCCTTCGGCCTTGTCTCGCCGCTGCCTCCTCTTCTGCTGAAGGAAGTGATTCCGCCGGGTGAGGTCCGTTCCCTCCGTTCTGACTCGGTCCGCTCGCTGTCGTCTGTGTCCTTATCGACGTTGCTGTCGTTGTTTTGTTTCTTTCTTTTCTTTTTGTTTTACAGGGAAGCGAAAGTGGCTCCTGTTGGTTTTTTCGATAGGTATCCGGCGCTGGTGACTGGATTCTTCTTCTTCATGTGGTAGGTGACCTGATTCGTTACATTGATCCCCCTACTATGCCTGACTTTTTCACTTTTCTTTCTCTGCCACCTGCTATTCTTTGTTCTAATTTCGATATGGCAACGTTTATCGGTGATCGCTTCGTGGTCTGAGATTTCGTCTTTGTCCTTTTACCTTTGCAGGTACTTCTTGAACGTGATCTTCAACATTCTCAATAAGAAGATCTATAATTACTTTCCTTATCCATAGTAAGTGCTGCTATTATATCCCGTAAATTAATGTTTAATTTGGTGTTTTACTTGTAGTTACATTGCTTAAGACTTCCTGCTTAATATAAGACGCTAACGGCAGTTTCAATGATGATATCATACGAAGAAGTTGATATAGAGCAGCTCAATACATTTATTCGAATTCAATTTTCCAATTAAATTGTAAGTTTCGTTGGTCATTACAAATAGTATATTTTAATATATTTGCACTAAACACTCAATTAACTTCTTTCGCATCTTCTAAAGGGGAAAAAACAGAAGCTAAAAAGAAAAGAGAAGACTGTGAAAGCGCAATATAATAATGCCAAAATTGATGGTGCGTAGATTGTAAATCTTAGGCCCTATTGTGGAAGATGAGCAGTCAAGTTACGTAAAAGTTAGTATGAAAATGAAGTGATTTGATGGTAATTGTCGCTGCTAATCAGTACTAGTGATTGACTTCAATTAACCATTAACCAATAATAATAAATTACAACCAAAATAACCTACCAATAATAACACGTTGTGCTTTTTATGTGACAATTTGCAGTTTCGTTTCTGTGATCCATTTATTGGTGGGCGTAGCATACTGTCTTGTGAGCTGGGCCGTGGGCCTCCCAAAACGAGCTGTAAGTAAACTTCACATTTACTCAGTCCATATCCTCATCACCACCACCGTATCGGAAATTCTCCGAAATCTTTCCACCAATAAAAAAGAGGGAAAAAAAATCCGAAATCCACATTTTAGGAGGACGTGATATAATAATTTCTCGAGCTATAAACAACTCTAGTATTAATTTATCGTATTTTTGGTTAAGAAATGTGATAATAAAGATGAAAAAGTTATATCTAAAATCTCTGTTCTTTTATAAATGATATCTGTACATCTCATGCGTGAATATATATGTTGTGTAGCCGATAGACTCAAACTTGCTGAAGGTGCTGATCCCTGTGGCCGTGTGTCACGCACTAGGCCACGTGACCAGCAATGTGTCATTCGCAGCTGTTGCAGTTTCCTTCACCCATACTGTTAAAGGTGATCCAATTTCTAAAACAATTTGTGTCTGTGCATTTACATTTATGCAGTTTATTACTAATAATGTAACTTCTTATAACTTCTATTCATATATTGATTAATTTTTTAAAACTCTTTCAATGTCATTTTGTAATCATTATAAACTCTTTTGGTTTCAGCTCTGGAGCCCTTCTTCAATGCTGCTGCTTCCCAATTCATACTTGGCCAGTCAATTCCTTTCACTTTGTGGCTGTCTCTGGCTCCTGTTGTTATTGGTAAGATCTTCTCTTATCATGTTCCTCTTGACCTGTGTTTTTGCTTCTCTCTCCCACATTTCACCATCTTCTATTACATGTTAATGGCCTGTGTGACTATATGATTTTGGGATTCTGAATATGCTTTTCGTAAGAAAAAATAGATAATATATATATACATCTGATGCAACACATAAACAGTTAAATCAACAGCATCAACTAAATTTAATCAAATATTTCTAGAAGTTTAAGAAGAGATCAAATGAATGTACAGGTGTGTCCATGGCTTCACTGACTGAGCTCTCGTTCAACTGGACTGGTTTTATAAGCGCTATGATTTCAAACATTTCATTCACATATCGCAGTATCTATTCAAAGAAAGCTATGGTAACCTTCCTCTTCTCTCTCTCCAATCATCACATTGAACATTATTACTTAGAAATCTAGAATTGACCGAACCTAATTATGTCGCTCCCTGATAAGTACACTATTAATCTGCAGACTGATATGGATAGTACAAATGTGTATGCTTACATTTCCATCATTGCCTTGGTTGTCTGCATTCCGCCGGCCATAATTGTGAGTAAATCTGTACTTCTTGAGGCCCTTGTCAACAATAAGACATTTATGTATCACATGACGAATTCTTATCAATCGTTACTTGATCACACACACAGTTTGAGGGGCCTGCACTGTTGAAGGGTGGTTTCAGTGATGCCATTGCTAAAGTTGGTACCGTCAAGTTCATCTCAGATCTTTTCTGGGTCGGAATGTTTTACCACCTCTACAACCAGGTTTGTATATGCCATCTTAATTATGAACTTATTTCATGCTTATCAATCTATCTAATAAAATACTACAATAACTTGACCGAAGGAGGCACATCTTCATTCACATACAGATAATTTTTTTTCTGCGTGTTTTCTTCAAATACATGATTGTATACGTAACAATATTGTTGGTATTCTTATCGCCAGCTGGCCACCAACACTTTGGAGAGGGTGGCTCCTCTGACGCACGCAGTTGGGAATGTACTGAAACGTGTATTTGTAATTGGCTTCTCAATCATAGTCTTTGGTAAGCATATTTTTCTCTTCGATTTTGGACCTATAGTCCAGTTAGTCTCAATTTTGATTAATAATCTAAATGTATGGCTCTTACGTGCATGGCAGGTAACAAGATCTCCACCCAAACTGGTATTGGGACATGCATTGCAATTGCAGGAGTGGCAATCTATTCATTCATCAAAGCCAAGATGGAAGAGGAGAAACGAGTGAGTGCAAATGAAACTATTGAACAATTAAATAATATATTCATAGCGCCAAGTTAATTATATGATTATGCTTTTTGTGTAATGGTCTTTCATTTGCTATGCTTATTGTGACAGCAAGCGAAAGCAGCATAAGAAGCAAAGAGGCGTCGGAGCATTGGAAACTATATCAATCGTCACAGAGTTGCTTCAAAAATAATTGTGATGGTTACATATTGTATTATCCTTTCCTTGCAATCCCTTCTGTTTTTCCCTTTCTCCCTCACTCTTATTAATTTTCTCATCCTCTTTTTTGATTCTGTCAGAAAACAATGAATTGCTGATTCGCAATCTTTTCATGTTGACTGAACGATGATGTATTCATGATTCCCTCAGGACACGTTAAAGCTCGCCTTTTCATTTCCCTTTGCCGCGGAAATTAATAACAGTTACTGCTCATGGCAAATAGAAATTCATAGAATGAATAAGGAAGTCATTGCTCATTCAGTAAGGATTTGAATTTGACAAGTGGCTTAAATACACTTGGTGTCTCGTGTGACACGATTAACGATTTGATTTAATCGAACAGTTGCCAAAGATTTTGAAGCCCCGACTAATGAGCAAACAAATAATAAGCAGAAGAAAAATAAACAAAACAAAAGGAGATTCATAAATGAGTGGATAACAGGGCTTGAAGACATTTTGTTTCTGCTAATATGACTTCGATGCATTAACACAAATAAAAGTTAACGAAACATGTTATATCAGCAGCTAAAAGGTCAGTTGTTCAGACACAGAGTGAAGACTGAGGTGTTTAGTTTCCCATTGCATGTGCTTTGTTTGGTTTTAAACATAAAACTTATATATAGGTCACTCTTTTTTCCCCCACAAATCACTCCGTATGTATGTGTTGCTATCAATTAATTCGGATTTTCTGGCAGAAAAAGAAAATCAATAAATTCGTATTTGTGTCATCGGAGTCCAATTGTGGAAAGTTCTCGATGTCATTTTTTAAATCCACGCTGCCGTTATCTATAGTTTGCTCTATCCAAAAAAAAATTAGTGAAGACATAAGAATACATTCGAAAATTGAAACAGCGTGTTCCAGTTCTCCCTTCCAGCTACTGCTCTACGTGTACTTTTCTTAACAAGTCATGTCCAAGTGTGTGTGTGTGTGTATTTTAATAAGAACTAATTAAAAACTACTATAACCCAGAAAACAACACAGAAAATACTAGTACAGTACAATCAGTGAACTCCTCTTTCTGCATCAACCACCCCCTGATACAAGGTGGGGATGGTTAAAGAGGCAAAAACCAGAATCCAATTGATGAGCAAACTTAGCAGTAGAATCAGCTAAAGAAATTATCCTCCCTATAACACCAATTAAGGGAAACATTCCAATATCTATGAAGAATGAGCATCGGCTATGATATCCTGGAATGGGTGGTTCTCAACATTGCTGCGCAGCATAAGATTAATTGCTTCTGCTCTGTCCATGAATATCCAAATATATTTTTACCTAGCAAGCAAGGATTGTGCAGGACAATAATTTTCACGTAAAAACAAAAGGGCATCGATGAATCACATAATGTCGAGAGTGACTCTGTGAACGATTCTTAATATATTTAAAAAAAATTAATTTTTTAATTATTTAATTTTTCATTTACGTATTAACTCAGTCCCTCAATCCAACTATGACCCTCTGCAATTCAATCTCTCAACTTTTAATTTTATAAAAGATGTCATATATCTAAATTTGATTTTAACAACTCTTTGGCCTTTATTTTTTAGTTAATTTTAATTTTATCTTAAAAATTGAATATTTTTTCAATTTTTAATTTAATTTAAATTTTATTTTATTAACAAAATAAAGAATTTTAATATCCGAGCAAAGTAAATTCAGATTGGGGCTCAACCTGGATTTTTTTTACTTTATTCAAGTGGGCCCAATAAGCTTGAGGTTAAAAAAAAAAATTCTAAACTCTCAAACTCAATACTCAGATTTTTTAAGTTTATTCAAGTTGATATATTAACTTTATAGTTCTAAGAATATTACTTAATAAATTAGACAAGGTTGACTTATTTTATAAAATTAAGAGGTACTATATACCATTATTAATTTTAGAATATCAAAAGTTTATGGGTGCTTTTGTACCTTATATTTGCTTCCTTTTCTAAACAGTCAATATTAGCGGATTTTAGTTAAATTTAACTGCTTAAAAACTTTTGCCCCCATTCCATCAACATTATATGGCATTCTTACGCCATCTTTTACTTACAATACAAATATTGGATGCCTTTAAAAAAAATAATTTATAAGTAATATTACTCTTTAACCCTTATCATTAAGCGTCATAAGATCATGGCGAAGTTACAAAAATAAAAAATAAAAATTGTGGACAAGTCATGAAATTGCTTCTTTATACTGTTGTTGTTTAAAATTGTTGATGCATTATCAACATAAATAGTAGTCCTCGTAGTTTGAAAAATAAATAGGAAGATGAATTGAAATCATACTTGACATTCATATACAACTAGAATCAAACTGGAATACAAATAATAGATTTATTTTCTCTTTTTAAAGATAATCAGATTCTGCATAGGAAATTTTATTTAAATAATGATATTTTGATGATCTTTGAGATTAATTGAGATTTATTTTGGTTAACCATCATCTTATCTAGAAAAAGAGAGGGGAGATATGGAATTGTTTTCGATGCTTATCCTAAAATGAAGATGAGCATCGTGGTGCTCAACGCCAAAACACTACTATTTGGTGGTATTTTTTTTTACTTTTTTAACCATAAATTTATTATAATAATAAATAAATAAATATTATAACATTATTATTTTAATATTTAATAAATAAATAAATATTAAGATGTTAAAATTAAATTTAAACAGTTTAACTCATTAAAATTTGAGTTAAACTGTTTATATATAAATTTTGGTTTGAATGATTTAGAACTATATTAAAAAAATTAGAATTGTAACTAAAAATATTTTTTTATTTTATTGATTTTGCATAGTTATTTATCTATGAGAGATAATATCATTCAAGGTATAGTCAGGTATTAGATATAGGTACTTTCTTAACAAGAATTCAAATATTAATTTATTACAGTGTATGAAATTAGCTCATTTTACTAGACCCAACCCTATTTTAAATTATTCAGATCTTTTTTTATTTTTTCAGTACAGTTATCAATGTTCAAACCAAAATTTTTATTTGAACTATTCACATTTAATTTTAACATCTTAATATTTATTTGTTTGTTAAATATTAAAATAATAATTTTATAATAATTATTTATTATTATAATAAATTAATAATAAATTTGCGGTTTAAAAAAAGCAAAAAAATATATATATGGCAGTGTTTTTGGTGCGAAGCACCACGGTACTCATCTTAGGATTAGAGAAATTGGAAATTGAGTCCGGGGAGATATGCCTTGGGACAAAGACAGAATTGATATTACATAGGATTAGACATTGCCGAAATACTAATTTGGCTGAAATAGAGGGGAAGTCAAAGGTAAAAAAGAGAGAGGCTGGGCGCGAAATTGGGGGGAAAAATTATGGACCAATTTAGGAGTAGCTTTTTCTCTTTAAGAACTGCCCATTTTTTAAGAGAAAAGTTGGAGAAAAAAAAAGTGTGAATTCTAGATGTAATTTCCTCCAATTTTCTCCCCCTCCCATTTTTCATTCTTTTGCCGAATGGAGGAAAATAATTTTTTTGCCCTCACTTTTCTCTCATGCTTTGCTCCTCCGTCTGTTTTGTTTTTGTTTTTTTTTTTTTTGGTCAAGCATGGTAATAGTATAAGACGAAAATTGCAAAGGTAGAACAGAAAAACTTAATACAATGAAAAACTAAAATAAAAATGATTTAAAAAATACAATGGTTAAATAATAATTTGAACTTTAAATTATAAATTTAAAAACGATTTGAACTTTAAATGCATATTTAATATATTTTAAACTTTAAATAATTAAATTTAGAATAATTTTCCGGACTGTTAATATAAATAAACATCCATTACTAGTGAGCCCATCCTGATCATCCTCTCTCTCTCTCTCTCTCTCTCTCTCTCACGATCACTGCCTCGCTCGTTGTTGTGGCCAAGTAGCATGCAGCGATGCTAGTGTGGCCTACTTATAGTTCTAGCCAGGCTCATTGTGGTGACAAATAGATGACATGATTTCTACGATGCGAGCAACACTGATGGAGAAATATTTAGTTGAGATTTATGTTTGGCGTAGCTTGTATCTCCACTGGTTTGTTCATCGAGGTTGTGAATCTTTTTCATAAATTCTTTATTTTCAGTCATTGCTTCTCAAGGATCTTGCATTGAACCGTTTGCAGATTGATTGAGTTTGTTGTTGACAATGATTTGTTAAGTGGGACTGTTTTCGATTGAGGATAAAGGTCTCAATGATTTCGCTAAGTGGAAGAGAGATCCTTAAAGGAGGCATTGATCTCAGTGATTAGGTATGCTACCTTAATCTCTATTTTACCCCTCTTGCATAGTATCTTTTTAGTTGTGAGCCAAATGGATGTTGTGATTTCTTATTTGAAATTCATTTCGGCAGTCCTCAACACTTCCTATTTTGTAATCTTTTAAATGTGCATAGCTTTCTAAAGTTTTTGTTCATGATTTCTTTTCTTTTTTCTTTTTAATTACCTATTCATGATTTCTCTCATTGTTGTTTTATTACATGCGATTGTAGCAAATCTCAACTTTTAAATATACTTTGAGTGATGGTATTTTAGGTGCATGCTATTTGGCCACACCATCAAGCGAGACGATGACCAGGAGAGGGAGGGAGAGGATGTTAGGTGATAATGGGCCTCATTGGTTATTAAAAGGTAATAGATGTTTATCTTATACTATGGTAGGGAAATGCTCCAAATTTAATTTTCAAAATTCAAAATGTATTAAATACAAATTTAAGGTTAAACTTGCTCATATACTTATAGTTTAGAGTTCAAATTGCCATTTAACCTAAAATAGAAAGAGTGAAATGCAATCTTTATGATTATATTTTAAAATAATCATTTTTTTTATCCAATAAAATGATCATCATTAAAAACACATAACAGATGGGAAAAAAATCAATGTTTTTGCCTCATCTTTTTTTTTTTAAAATATATATACATAAAAGAATTTAGATAAATTGGGTTTTGGAAGTTCATCAAGGTCAGCATATGCCTTCAAATTCAAAGAGTATTTATGAAAGTACTTACAAATTATCTATCAACATGATATTCATATCAATAATTAAATTTAAATCTATGACTCTTGTGAATTATGAATTAAATCCTTATCAAATGAATTAACTTTTGATAGGGGAAAAAAAAAAGAAAGTAAAGTTGTTCAGGTCCAAAATTAAACAACCTTGTTCGTATCAAAGTCCAAGGAA